AGAATGGTAGTGTGAAAGTCATGTGAATAAACAGTATTTCAGGAGCAGAAGTATATAGATCTGTATGAGGAAGCATATATATATTCCTTCTCTATGCACACCTACATACACTGGTTACTTACAATAAGAACGAAGAGGTTATAATGACAGATCTATTTGGTGAATTGAATTTTGGCTTCTTACAAATTACACAAAAGTCAACAAAGATTTTTTTTTTTCTTTTCCTCTCAAAATGCAGTCACAGGCTGTCTTGCAGAGACTTTCTCATGAACTTTCCATTGAGAATTCCTTATTTGTTTGTTCTTCATCTTCTATGATTACCTTATTGTAACACATATGAAAGACGTTTCTGCCCACTGGATGGAAAAATTCAACCTTTAAAAGTGGAAGTGGGCAGGTAGAAAAAAAATCTTATGTTACTAGATTGATTTTAGCAGTAAGGCTGCAATAATTTACCACTTTGTATAAGAAAATCTCAGGGCAGAGGTGCATATGGCACATTAAAGTAAAAAAACCCAAACCAGTAAGTCTACAGAGCTCTGCATTTTCAGGATTTTCTTGCTTGGAGGCCCTTCTAGTCTAAAATAGAGTATTTTAGATCTTCAGCAGCCTATAAGATAGTATAATGAGTTCTCATAATGTTGTAATATTCTGGTTAGTTTAATAATATTTATGTTTTACTTTAAATCAATTGAAAACTGTAAGGCTAAAATCTCAGTTTACAGTTTAAAGTACATTTCTAGCTCACGTGTTTTTTGAGAGTATTGGAAAAGTGATTTCAACAAATTCTGAATAACTAGAAGAATCAGAACACCAAAAATCTGTAAGCAGCATCATAATTCCTGAGTGGAAGGAGAAACAGACCCACTGTTTTTGAATGGAGCTGGCAATAGTGAGAACCTCAATACCAGAGCTGCTCTGCTTATAGTTTGCCCTGAAAATATCAGAAAAATAGGTGTAATCCCACAGTGTCATTTCAGATGGAAGGAAACTAGAAGATCTCACTGCAAATATTATATTAAAACATGGAGCCATAGCTGTGCTATTTCAGTGCTGGTTTTATAATGCCGAGGTAATTTTGTACAAAGCCATAGGAAATTTTCAGATTCTTCTTGTCATCTTTCTCCTAGATTCCTGGCCTTGTTTCCAAGTTATTTTAGTCTTTGTTGGTGATTTATAATATCCAACATTCAACTTCTGATTAAGCCCCAGCTGATGTTTCTCCATGTAGAGTGCTTATTTGACTGAATATTTTGATTGTGTATTTTAGAAAAGAGACATCCTTTCTTAGTCTGGTTGAGGCAAGAGTT